TCCAACATTTCAAAATAACGTTCAAACTTCAAATCCATGGTACTAACAAAATGTAATTGAATAAAGGGTTAATTAACTTAATATTACTTTTGGGACATATAATTAGAAAAGTAACATAACCAAAAATATAATTAGGAAACTAGCAGTGAGAGAAATAAAAATATGATGAAATTTCTCTTACAACTACAATTAAGGTAAACGAATATACAACCTAATTTCCCTAATAATTAAGGTAAAAATAAAGAAAAAAATACCTAAAATTCTTCACTTAATCTCATCTCATAAATAATTGTTCCTCCCAAAAACGCTGATCCATTTTCTGTAAAAACGAAATTGGGTGAGAAAAATCATATATGTTGCAATAATTTACTATTTAACATAGCTAGCTATTTTCGTAACTATATACTTAATTGATCTCAGAACATAGTTAACTACATCACACTATTTCAAATTATCTAAAAACATAGTTAATTATATTCACAAAATAGTTACCAATTTTAAAACATAGTTAACTACTTTTAAGAAATGGTTACCAATTTAAAAATATAGTTAACTATTTCCAGAGCATAGTTGACTACACAAAAATATTGTTTTAATAGTCACTTATTTAAACAATATAGTTAACTACGTTTAGAAACATAGTCAACTATATTTTAAATCTAGTTATCTATTATAGTTTGCATCACAAAAAAAATAACATACATAGTTAACTATTATCAGAAATATAGTTACATATTATAATGAAAAATAATTGTTAACTATTGTACTGATTTTCGAATATAGTCAACTATGCCAATTGAAACGACCCAACCCGTAAAAATTTAAAATTTTCCAAATTCGGATTATTATTATCATAAATAAGAATTCTCAACGGTCAAACACAAATATGCGGAACTCAACAATCAATTAACCAACGATACTATTCAATAAATCTCATATTTTATTAAATCACTAAACCAATTCCAATACGAAACAACAACCAATAATCCAATTCAACTATCCATAATTCACTAGCAACCTAGCAATTAT